CCATATTGTATTCTTTATGGATCTGTAACTGTGGTGAAGGTAGGGATTTTTTTTTTTCTTCTCCCTTTGTAATTATGCTTCATGAAGTTTATCTTAAGAAAAGTAAATATTGAGAGTTGTATTTTGTTAGTGAATTTAATACTTGACATTTTTTGAGTATTTTGATGTTAGGGACTTTTGCTTCCCTTTATTTTTTAATATTTTAACACTTCTTAATAGTAGAAACAATGTTTTCCATGTAAATCAATAATCTAAATTAGTCTTCTAGTTAGGTGCTAGTCTAATCCATCTAATCTGGAAAATCGCATCAAGGCTGTGTTCTTGGGCAGTATTAGAGACTGGTAATTTCTGGATTGTTGTAGAATGAATATATTTTATTTTTGATAGAAAAAAAAGTAATGTAAAAACTAAGTAAATATTTTATACAACGCACATCAACTGATGGGATTTCAGAATTAAATACTAATGATATCTTCAGATGTAAACATAGCATTCTTTGATAACAACTATATTTTCCTATCGATAAAGTAAAATTTCATGGTTTATGCGTCCCGTTGCTTAAAGTTGGATCAGTTTCCTCTGAACATAAAGATAAGCTTATAAGGCCAAGCTGGAATTCAGTGACTGTCTTTTTAATGATCGTGTGATGTAGTTTGAAAGTCAATTATTTTAAGCTCCCTCAATACATACTCTGGGCATATTTTTCTTCCGTATTTAAAGCTGCATTATGTGTCAGACCTCAAGGACAGAATCAGAAAAAAACAGTACAGCTAGGAATGAGAACAAAGACATTTAAAAGATAAACATTTTTATTAGTGAGCTTTTAAAAATAGCAGAATATTGTAAAATATTGTACCGTGCTTATTTTAATAGGTAGAAGTTATTATAAGGGTTCAATAACTTTATGGTTGTTAACAAAACTATGGAAAGTAATAATTAGTTTAAAAAATAGGGGCGCCTGGGTGGCGCAGTCGGTTAAGCGTCCGACTTCAGCCAGGTCATGATCTCGCAGTCCGTGAGTCCGAGCCTCGCGTCGGGCTCTGGGTTGATGGCTCAGAGCCTGGAGCCTGTTTCCGATTCTGTGTCTCCCTCTCTCTCTGCCCCTCCCCCGTTCATGCTCTGTCTCTCTCTGTCCCAAAAATAAATAAACGTGAAAAAAAATTAAAAAAAATAAAATAAACTCAAATCACTTGGTTGAGGAATTTTTCAACAAGATTTTGTCACAGAGGAGCAGTTTTAGTTTGAAATCAGTAAACTTGGTAAACATTTTGTTTTTATATTCTAGATCCATCCTGACCTTTGTGTCATTGAGGCTCTCCTACTAAATAGTTGCTTATTTAGGCTTCATTTTGAAAGGTATCTCTCCTGACCCCAAAGAGACATTCTAAGACACTATGACTTTTAAAAAGCCCTCATAACTGATTAGTTTTTAATTAAGTGAAAGTTCTATTATGCTCTTAAAGTTTTGAGGCTTCTGTTTCTTTGCCAGGAATCTATTTAACAGAATGCTTACTCCTGAAGGACACATGTTTATTCAAGTACAATTACATCTGATAATAGGACCAATATTATGTCTGTGGTATATGATGTTCAATGAGAACTTTAACCATCAACAAAGTACACCCTCGGTAAAAACTGCATTTATGTATAAACAGGCACCATATATATGCCTTTTTAAGTTAAGTTGATTACAGATGATTATTTCTCTTTGAACTTGAGGTAATTAAGTCAAAATATAATAAAAGTTGATACATTATATTGGCAAGGGAAAATTTTTGGTTTGCACAAAATTTTGCATAAAATTTGACATTGCATTCATTCTTATGAACTTAATTTTTTCCAAATAAATTAATGAAAGTAATTATTTTATGTATTTATCTTTAGTAGATTTTTAAAAATTTTCAGAACCAAATACAGACAACTTTAGTAGGTATGTAGATAGATAAATAGATATTGTATTACTTTGCTTGATTAAAACCCCATTCTTTTTCAAGTTTACACTTTGATGCACCTATATTGAAAAATATTTGTCAAAAATAATTTGCCTTAAGTGAAGAAATGGTTTTATGGGGTTTATGAAGTATTCATTATATTTTTAAGTGTCTATTTCAATATAATACGTGAATATATTTTATTTCTTCTTTGTTGGCTCATATGATGGAATGAACCAAAAAAAAAAAAAATACTGTACATTCTCTCTACAAAGTCTTTAGCTTTCTAAGCTTAAAACTATGAACCAAACACAGTTATGACAGTAATGGATACATAAAAGAGAGTATACTTGTAGGGAGATAGGAACTGTGGAGGCAGTACTCAGCTTCTTCAAGATTTACTGAAGTCTGCAATTCATTAATAGTATATGTGAAATAAGAATTTACAGTTTATTACCATTTAAATAAGACATAGCTGCTTAAATGATAAGTTTGAACTATAAGTTTCTCTTTTAAAATGAAGCTGTTTTAATACAAAGTATATGTAATACAAATTTTAATAACAAGGAAGACAAAAATGTCAAAAAATTTTAAAATATATTTTGTGGAACTGTGAATTATACTTTGAGATGATTTAAATGAATGTTCTATCTGCTAATTAAAATTAAGTGATTTTTAATATAATTATGGTTATGACCTATTTATTAATGGATCATATTCATATAAATGATGGAAAAGTGATTAAATGGGCACTTTCAGGTAGTAGTGAGATCATTATCAAATCTTTCATTTTCATCCTTTCATGTAATATGAATTTTGTATTTTTGTAAATTAAATTATTGGTGCTAAGTGTTGCCATATTCCTGGTAAGAGTGAAAGCATCAGTGAACTACTTGTATAATTATAGCACTTACCTCTTTTAAAAAATATTCTAATTAAATGCTATATAATACAATGTCCAAATCAGGTGCCACCGTGAGAAGATTTTTTGTTTTTTCTTTGCTTGGCTTTTTATTTCACATGTTTTTATTGGGTCATATAGCATCTAGTAGAAAGAAAATTGACCTGGTAATCAGGAGACCTCTGTTCTATTTATGGTTCTGCCACTGAACTTGTTGTGTGACCTTGGGTAAGTCACCGAACTCTGTCTGCCTCAGTTATTCTCTATAATTAATGGATGAATTAGTTGAGAAGAATTTTGAATGTTTTGAATCCATATAACATGAAGAACATTGCCTCAGTGCCATTATAAAATAATTCAGATACAGGGAAATGCTAGGTAGAGAAAGGAGTTGCATTTTTGTTGTTTTTTTATGTTTTCTGCAAAAAAAAAAAAATAAGTAACTTTTTATTTTAGAGAAGGAATTCACCTACACGGTCATGTCATCCAAGTCCTATCAATTTCATTTTAACATGCAAGGAAATTATTTTAATAGTATGGTAAACATGTATATAGAGAAATTTTGCATATCAGAAATAAGATATAATAAAAATCAGAATTAATCTATGTTATTAGTATATCTCTGATTTTTCTGTCTTTGAGAAGTGGGTGGACTAGGTATGGAAAACAAAATATGGCATATATCATATTAATGTATGGCGTACATTTCAAGAGGATAGTCAATCCTCTCAACATAGTCTGGTTTGTAATGCAATTATGATGAGATTAGTGTCCAATTTTGAATAGATCAAAGATGTGCTCATACAGTAATAAAAATGACATTACTAAATTTCAAAATGTGTCATTCGTTTTCAGTTCTCTGTAATTCATACTAAAATTTCTCCTTTTTCTAAGAAAACAAGATTTGGTCATCTTAGCAATCTTTTCCTAGTGGAAAGTTTTCATTTTCTCACTCTTCAGAAAAAGAGATAAGTTTGTTATAGGAAAGAATCCTCTTACGAGTTATAATTTCAATATGTCAATGTGCCAAGTATATTTTGATAGAATATGTTTTTCTATATATCACTCAAAAACTATGATATAACTATTGCAGAAGTGAATGTGGTGCTTTGATTTAAGAATTTTGTGGTACCTGATTCAAAGCTAAGAATGCAATTAAATAGATTTTGGCTTTGTATTATAGTGTTTATCTGTGTCAATCATACTAACTCACTAATATCTTTGGAAGAAATTTTTTCCTAGAATGCTGAGTTTAGCAGATATCTCCTGTTCTCAATCACTGTGTAAAATGTCTTCTGAACTTCACTAGTAGAGGAGAAGGAAGTATTTCCAAAATGTGTGCCATATCTATCACGGTAGATATTGGATTTTGATGGGCAAATTTAAATAGAGCTGTCAATGATGTGTTATATGGTGTGTGTAATAATTTTCTGAATAAATAGGTATTATAAGGGAATATGATCAAGTAAAGTTTGTGTAAATTTAAGGTTATTAGGAATTTTTAATATTTAAGTAAAGCCATATCTTTCAGCTACTCTTTTATACTGAGTTTTCTACTTGATAACTCTCCATAATATTTTTTATGATAATATTTTGCTGTACTGAAGTAATTCCGTGGAACATTGGCCTGATAGCCCTACTTTATTTTCATGTGTGCACTCATGCATTTGGGATAGTTGAAAGGTATAGAAATCTGTTGGAACTATTTTATTGTTCTTTTAAAAGTTGATTCAGTTATTTCCTTTAAATGATAATAAAAATCCTAAAAGCATTTTCACAGATTTTAAATGGACTCAGGAATGTCTTGAACAATATGGTCATACAAGTAACATTGTTTTTACTAATGGTATCTTTCTTCAGCATCAGTGTTCAGGATTGGGGCTGCCCATAAATAATTGTAAACTTTTGAATCCTCTTTATTTCTACACTAACTTTATTTTTCTGATTCTGCTAACCCATAATAGCTTAACCAATTCTCCATCAATTCCTCCGTATTATTTTTTAATTTATTTGCATATGGTACGTATTTTATTATTTCTTTCCTGCAACTGTGTACAGGATTCTTTCTCAAAATGATTTGGGGCCCTTTCCTTCAGTGTCACTTTTTACCTCTTGAGTACATCCACTCACACCCATCTCCTTTGTCTATGTCTGTCCATTACACGATGTGATCACAGAAGAAGTGGACTCCACAAGGAGAAGACATACAGGTCTGTCTCTTCTGCTTTTCTTTGTTACTTTTTCATTTATCTAACTTGTTTTAGAAATTCTTTACTATTTTTTATTCATTTCATAATTTTTCATTTTCCTCTAATATAACAAAATGTTAAATCTTGCAGGCACTTTTATTTTAGGTAGTGGTATATTCAACTGTTAGCAGCAACCGCTCCAATTAGATCGATAAAAAATAAAAAGATTAATATTTACATAATATGTACATGTAGGTATATGTATTTTTTCCATAACTGGGTAACTAACTCCAGATCCAAATATATGTATATATGTACATACATATAGGCATACAGTATTTAGTCATTGAAATTAAAGTAACAGATTAATCGTATTTCATTCTTGAACTTATTTTAGACTTAAACCTTGTTTTCAACTTTATGTTACATAATTTTAAAAGTATTTTATTTTTATCATGAGTTCTGCAATGTGCTAGACTGTGGAGAACACTAAAGATCTAATACATGTCCTACACATGCTATCAATATCACCGAGGAGTTATAATATGTGGGGAACATGCTGTGTTTAGGTGCCAGTGTGGATGATTCTAACAATATGTTCTGCAAAGCTATAAAGTCAAATAAAATCTGTTTCAACTAGACGGCCAGAAAAGACTTTATGGCAAAAGGAACACTTGAACTAAATCTCGAACATTCATTCAACACTCATTTCTTGAACTCATGTGATGTGGTACTGTTCTAGGTGCTGGAAATAACAGGACGCACAAAATAGCTCCCTATCCTCATAGGCTTTTTGTAGAGTGAATCTGACGAGTAAATGCAATAATATTACAGGTGCTGTGAGAAATCTATATGTGTAGAAATACAATGGAATCACAAAGGACGGTATGATCATTTCCACCTGGAAAGTATGGATATTAGTTCAAGAAAGACTTCATAGAAGAGATAACATATGAATTAAACATTAAAAACTAGAAAGATGTTGTCCTCATGTGTAGACAACATCTCAGGGAAAACGACTTCAAACAAATTTAGGCAAAAGTGGGAAGGGGAGGGTTTCTGAACAACATGTAGGATATTGACACATGTAAAGCAAGAGAGGAACAAGATTGGATATTTTTTCCAAAGATTACTTTGGAAACTATATAAAAAGTGGACAAGAGCAGTATAGACAAAAAGATCATTTATGAGGCTGTTTCACAGATCAGTGAAGAGATGATGATGGGGTGACTTAAGGTATCAATAGAGAAAGTAAAGATGTGAAACCTGTAGGACCTACATACTGATTGGATATTACTGATGCAAGAAAAGGAGGAATAATTTCAGGTAACTGAAATGTATAGGTAAATGGGGGCACATTTTATCAAGATAGGGAATATAGGTTGGAAAAGTTTTAGGAAAAAATTAAGAATTCAGTGTGAGGATGAACTGAGTTTGATATTCCTTTGGAATATTCAGGTATAAACATCTATTAGAAGTGATTGAATGTATGGGTCTGGAACTCAGCAGAGAAGTCTGGGCTAGAGACAGAGAATAAGGAATCAGCATTTAACTGATTCCATTGGAATGAAGGGAATTTCCAGAAGTATATGAAGAATAAGAAGAGAGCCAAGAATAAAAATTCTGGGATTACCAACATTTTTTTACATAAATAGAGGAGGGAAGAACAAGAGCCAGAAAACCATGATGAAAAGAACCATTGAAAGACAGTGGGATATCTAGAAAAGAACAGAGGTCAAGAAAGGAAAGTGTTTCAAGAAGGATATACTCATCAGAAAAATTCAAGAGAAGGGCAACTATTGTTAAATGTTAACCAATAACAATGTTTGTGTAAATGGTTTTAGTGAAGTTGTGGACCGTGGAAGCCAGATGGAAGAGAAGGAAAGAGAGATCTAAAAGAAAAAAGAATGAGGGTGACTGTAGACTAGGCTTCCTAATAATGGCTTGGGGAAGTTAAAATGAAGAGTAGCTATCCTGGAGGATACAAGGGAGAGTTCACCAAAGATATGTAGAAGGAGGATAGTTTACGTGAAGAACTTAAATTCGTGATGGTCTTTAAGGTCGTGTGATTGATTCATTAGCACACTTCAGACAAATTGTTGGAAGTTTGCAGGCAGTTAGAGGAGAAAGAAAAAGGATGAGGCTGTTGAGGGTGGCCTGCAAGCAAAGTGTTTAAAGTGATGTCTGAGATTAGGGAAGATGCTGGTCATGTGAAATCACGCCATGCAGTTAAATCACATTCAGATACAGAGTTTTCCATGAACTGGGAAAGAAGGGCTTTAATGAAAGAACTGGAATTTATAGAGATATTCAGGCTAATGGAGGCAAGTGGAGAGTGTTATTTTCAGAGATTGATTTAGTGATGCTTAGAATTTTCAGATGTTAGACAATTCCAAATAATAGAAAGATACAGGGTTTGATACTGGGGGTGAATTTCTGAAGTGGGGCTTGGACCACAGTTTGGAAAGGAAAGGAAAGCAGCAAACTTTTTTTTTTTTAATTTTTTTGAATGTTTATTTTTGAGAGAGAGAGACAGACAGAGCATGAGCGGGGGAGGGGCGGAAGAGAGAGGGAGACACAGAATGCGAAGCAGGCTCTAGGCTCCCAGCTGTCAGCACAGAGCCTGACGCGGGGCTCGAACTCACGAGCAGTGAGATCATGACCTGAGCCCAAGTCAGACGCTCAGCCAACTGAGCCACCCAGGCACCCCGAAAGCAACAAACTTTGATGTTAGAATTTTTATATAGGCATTGAAGAGCCACTGACGCCCTAAGTGTGACAGAGAATGGGTGAAGGAAGGTAGGGTGGAAGTAGACAGTAACAGCAAGAAAGTAATGGTAGGAACATAAAAGCGATAAATGTTACATGAAATTAGAAAAGTAAACATGTGAAAAGAGAAATGCAGACATAGAAAAATGCTGGTACCACTTCCAGGACTCCCTATTACTTAAAGTATAGGATTTTGAGCCGTTTCTCCTCAAATTGTTTCGGACAGGTAGTGTTCTTGTTGAAGGGGCAGCTTTCCGTTCAGGCTAACAGGTGAGATGCGCATTCTGTGATGAGGCTGAGAATGCATAAGATTTAATGAAGGGCTTCTGGGTTCAGAATTCACAAGTGGAAAAGATTTAGGATGTGGGCAGCAACGCGGGAAGAAGTGGAGAAGGAAGCTCAGGATAGGTGTGGTTGACAGTACAGATTGGAAAATGTTAAGAATAGATGGTAGGATAGGGAAGAAACGAAGCACTGAATATGGTAGGGGAGAAAACACGGAGAAAAATAAAGACCTTAGGCCAAGCTTTGGGAGGGGGAATTCAACAGCTTGAACAAAGGAATGTCTATGATATGCATAGAGAAAAGTACTTTGTTAAGGGAGTTTGAAAATTAGGAAGAGGAGAAGATTGATGATGGAAGGAATTTTTCTTAGGAAAAAAAAAAATACTATCTAGGACGTATGTGGAATGGTTAAATTTACAGAGGAAAGAGAATGTTCTTGGTTCGAATCTCATGTCCTAAGCTACTTTTAATTTTTATCTAAACGTAATTTGAAGTCTTTCTTAGCACAGACTTCAAAACTGCAGCTAGGGGCGCCTGGGTGGCGCAGTCGGTTAAGCGTCCGACTTCAGCCAGGTCACGATCTGGCGGTCCGCGAGTTCGAGCCCCGCGTCAGGCTCTGGGCTGATGGCTCAGAGCCTGGAGCCTGTTTCCGATTCTGTGTCTCCCTCTCTCTCTGCCCCTCCCCCGTTCATGCTCTGTCTCTCTCTGTCCCAAAAATAAATAAACGTTGAAAAAAAAAACTGCAGCTATAGCTATGAAGCCTTCCTTTCGTTCTGGCGGGAGGAAGCTGGGGTGAGCTTTCTCAGCTGTAGACTCTCAACACTGTAAGTGGGGACTTGGTCTGTATTCGCTAGCACTGAATAAAGGATTCCACAAACTCTCCAAAGCCTAAAGAAAAATGAGGACCAGTGCATTCCCTTCCAGAACAAAATGAGAGTAAAGAATGATAGCGATGGTAATGAGAGCTTCAGAGAAAAAGGAGGTAATTTTAGAAGAGAAAACAGTAAATTTTGTGACAAGCAACTCAGATGGATTTCCAAGTGTTTAATAAAAGTTAGATGAAATTCAAGCTTTTCAAAAACTGACTCGAGACTGTGACCAATAGAATGTAGTATATTAAACCATCATCACATCTTTAATGAATATGTAAGTTGATTATTTTTCTCAATCAATACCACCTATTAATACTTTGAGCCAAAATGTGATGGAAAATAATTTCGTAAGGCCAGTCATTTTCCTGACATATTAAGTTGAAGTGTGTGTTTTGCATTTTATACCGTAGTCGAAGGACCTTTATTTCTATTATAGGTCCAAGTATAGTCATTGCAATATAATTCTACACAGTGAATGAAGGAATGGAGTTTGATCACACATTTTGAAGCAGGAAAAACTCACTAAGTTTAGCCCTTGGCAGATAAAAATCAGGTTTCTTTTAAATGAGAAGAGCAAGTTTTATTAGAGTTTACACTTTTCTTCTTAACTCTTGAGGAATTTTATATGATAGGGCACCTGAGTGGTTCAGTGTGTTAAGTGCCCAACTTTGGTTCAGGTCATGATCTCAGGCTTAGAGAGTTCAAGCCCCACATCAGGCTTCATGCTGACAACGTGGAGACTGCTTGGGATTCTCTCTCTCTCTCTCTCTCTCTCTCTCTCTCTCTCTCCCCCCCCCCCAAAATAAATAAGTAAACTTAAAAAAAATTCATATGACAACTGTACTTTTTTAGATAATTGTAAAACAGATCTTAGAGACCATTTGAAAGAGAGCTAATGATACAAAAGAGATTTTAAAAATACTATTTGGTAAGTTCCATAAAACAGCATCTGCTCATGTTTTTAAATTCAAGTGTGAACTACAATGTTGCCAGAATTACTTCCAGAGCTGGTCTAGGGCATCTAGCAGTCTTAGTGCTTGTGTAATATATGTTTTACTCCTAAGGAGATCTCAAAAACAACAAATGTTTTTTTCA